AATTGTGAAAGCATTTGTGACAATTTGATCTAGCCTGTAAACTGGCGTGACTCTTGTAACGTAGTTATTTGAGAATAAATATATTTTGTTTTATTATCTCCTCAGATCACTAACTTCATCAATCTCGCCTATTATCTCTGTTTCCTCTCCCTTGCTTGAACTTTGGTCTTCTCTCTCAGTATTCACTACCAACCAGTAAACTAAATTATCTATGTATTACTTAGTTCTGAAATCCTATTCTTCTTAGCGTTGGAAATTTCTCCTTAATGTTCTTCACATTGCAACTAACTGATCGCTCTGGTAATGTGATAGCTGCTGGTATCCAGAAACCCAGCTGCCCTGAAACAAACGCATTGATTCGAATCGAAGAATATACAAACTCATAACCAACTGTCAACTGAGTAGAATCAGACAGTCGAGTGGCTATATCCCCTTCCATTGGACACTATCCAATACCTGGAACCGTACCGAAAGAACAAGAATGGAGCGCAAACAAATCAGTTGGTTTATACTAGCTCGTGAAAAGACATCGGATATTGTAAGGTTTATGGAGATCGGAGGTTCGCTTTGAGGAAATATAATACTATATCAAATTCATGAAGTATCCAGAATCTTAGTATTCAGGTGGAGATAAACAGTGGATGAACCTGTGCCAATACAAACTACTAGGAGCTCTAAAATATAAAGCCTCTTGCCAGTAGTTATGGCAAGCAGATAGTCTGCACCTATTAGCTTAGACGATTCGTCAATGACTTCATGGACTGGTGCCATGTTTCAGTTTGGCCGGCTTCTTCCAGAATACAACAGACAACATGGTTCTCCAAAGCAATCGGTGGTTATGCATATTAAACACATGTCCTAAGCTCCTCAAATGATAAAGACTCATTACTTCATTTGATTTGCCATCTTCATGTGGTACACTTTCTCTAACTCCAGCACTTCTTGATTGATGGTCCCTGAAAACATTAGTAATACATCGAAGAAGTGCTAGTTACCTACGAATGTCCTCTATTCTTAATTGGCAATGTTTCACGCCTGTATGGCTTCACGCTTCACAATAAACTCGTCCTTTAGCTAACAAAAGGATGTCTTCCCTACACCCAAGTTAGCACAGGTCAGTCTAGCCTCTGTATCCCTCTCAAGATTTGCCAACCACGAAACCCTTTGAAATGGCAAAAACAAGATAAGTGAGGAGGTCAACAAACTCAAGTAGGTCACTTTCAGTCACTAGTTTAGGTGCCAGTCCAGAAGGAACGCTTAGGATTCGGAGTGGAAGAAGCGCATCCTGGATTTGCTTGCTTGTTCCGTCAGGTGATCAAAAGACTCTTAATTTCATCAGCACATTCACTATCTTCATATTTTAAGTCAACAAGTGAATCCGCCGGTGGAAATAAAACTTCTGAAAAGTTAGACGATGAACGTGATTCCCCCAACAACATGTCAGTGGCGAAGTTGAATAAGAATGGTGGGAGATGACAACCCTGAAGAACGCCGGTGGCTGTTAACAACGAACTCTCACGCGATCACTACTGTTAGATTAGAGAGCTTGCACAAGGTCAGTGTATTGCTTTGGTTCAAATTTCATTGACGGACTGTGCGTTGAATTAATAATGGAGCTAATATTCCTGACACTTTATTGGTTAAACCTATTGCTCTGCAACTGTCACTAATGAAATTATAGGCTGGAACAATGAGTGATTATAACCTGTCAGGTGTGATTGAGTTCAGATTCTAACCAAGATCTCTGGCAGTCAAACTTGTAAAACTGAACCATCATTCCTAAAAGTTTCAGGGTGTGACGCACTACTACCTGCTACTCTCCCTCGCTTTAGATTGCTATTAGCCTTTCCAGAGTTAGAGGACTCATCTCAACTCCCACTTCAGGTTGACTAGTGATTGTGGGTAAACTAAGTGTCGCTGAAAGTCAATCGAAATGATTGGTAAATGTTCTGCCCATCATACAAATCTCTTGTATTAATAATCCAAGTTTACTTGATAATTCTGAATAGTTGTCCACTATTATCTCTCGCGGCCGACTTTTCCATCTGTTTCACTTTCACCACCATTGTTCGTGATCGTCGAGTAGACATTTTATCTGCTTACCTCTGAGCTGCTTCCGCCCTTCATCGAGTTCAGAGCCAGACAGAATGCGTTTCCGAGCACCTCTCAGTTCAGTTGATACTCCTTAAATCCATTGCTTCCCCATAACCTTATGTTTTACTTAACGAACAGAAATCACTAATATTTCCTCAGCTTTGTGGATGTTATTTCAAAGTGCCTAGTGGTGGTCATCACCTACAAGTCTGCCCAACTGTTTTTCTAGTTGTGCCTGAAATATAATCCCTACTTTTATACGGTTAAGTAGAACTGTAAGGAGCCCCATTGCTGTGCCTTCCGTACGATCAGTAAGCAGTGAAGAAACAAGTGCTCTTACTAAAGCATTATCTGAATCTAAATGTGTGCTTCAAGACGAACGACAGTCTTCTAACTAACCTCTTCGCTGGTGGCTGGTGGTAATGTGATCTAGTTGAGTTCATCTTTGGGTTTATTTTTGCAGTTCCCCATGTCAAAAGTTGTTTTTCCCCATACCTCACATTAATAATTACCAGAAATAGGTGGTTATCTGAACGTAACTGCATCAGACAGTCGCGATTGCTTGTTTTTCGAGCATAACAACCCCCAGGTTCATTTCGGTCTTCCCAATTGGACACAATTGTGAACTAAAATCACAGTCCATTATTACCAGATTAGAATGCCTTGATATGTGAAGAAGCTCTGAAAGATCTCCGTGAAACTCATCTGAGCAACAATCACTTGAAGCGTGAGCGAAGTCAGCGTAAAGGACACGGCGAGTGTCCTAGTCCTTTCGAGCTCTTACTGTCCCTCTGGACAAGGCATAAGTGACTGTCTGCAGGAATCCAGCCTAAGAGATCTAGTTCTGCTTTTCATCTCATTTCGACCTATACCTGCGAAGTCAGTGATCGTAACCATGAGGTCTCCAGATACAACAGTGGTATATTGCGATGGTCCTTTCTCTTGACAAGGTTGGGTAAAAGAGTCGCGAAACTTGAATCTTGAAAGCGGTTGTCACTTTCCAGATCTCCATATTCTGGAAGGATATTTTTTGAGGAAAGGGAAAAGTAAGTTGGGTTAGCGTTGTTCTAATGGGTTTAACTGCTAGGAGCTGGTCAACCAAGGCTCTTTCACGGAAAGTATTTAATGCTCCGCTCTTCTATAGGCCCTGGCTCCAGAAATGGAATGAGGTTAGGTGAGAGTGATAATCATAGGGTTCAGATTTTCTAACTCATTCCTTTCCTGTGAGAAGCCAGCTGATGCTGGCTATTTGAGATAAATACCTTAATGTTTTTGTTTTTAGTCTCATAATTCTCTAAATGATATGCCTGACATATTAGTATTTCAAAAAATGTATTCCAGCCACTATAGCAGCTTTGATCTATACTGATAGATGGGTCCGACCACCACACAGAGGTATCATTCACGGCCGGGTTTGCTCGAGCCTAAACAATATTTTATGAACTAGCAGAGAAACCCCTGATATCACAGTCAGTCACAGTGTAACTTCGCCAACATCATGAGTCAATTTTATGGCCTAATATTGAAACGTTTACCTAGAAAGTGCCACGTGATTCCTGAATTCATTACAAAATATTGACCGAACCCAACTGATTAAAATTAAATTTTTATACCAAATGAAAAAATGTTTTGATCAAAAGACGTAAGGTTTTAACAAGGCTGCTAAGGCTGTTTGTCGTGTGTTACGTTTTGATTAGATCTAGGTGAGTTTTTCAGCCGAGACATTTGGTAACTGAAAAAACTGACATATCAAACTTCTAAACGCGGTCGTTGTGTTCGACCCATTTGACTACTGAGGCAGTTTTACATCATCAGTATTTGATCATAATAACAAATAATGACATTAATAACTTTGAAACAACAACATGCCACATAGGGCGTGCCAGTTTGCAGGCAAGATCATTTATATGTATAAAAAACAGTAGGAACTACCGATTACTTATCGCTGCAGAGCCCAGTAAATAGATGAGCTTCCTTGAAGTAAATTTTGCGTCACCTAAAGGTCGTACATAAATGTATTTGTCGATAAGCATGTAGTCCAAGCTGGTAAGATGCTGAGACTGGAAATGTAGAGTAATTATCCGGTAGTGATCTGGTGCAGTTATATGTTCGAAAGCATTCAGCTAGGGTGTCCAGTTAGACTGATGAGGTCAGCCTGAATAACGAAGATTTACAGAATTATTTTTTTTACAATCCGATGGAAACATGTGTCATCAGTAACAGACCCTTATCTTCATTCTATATGCGCAATCTTTTTCAGTAGAGGTGGTAGAATTTATTACAACTTGATCTAGTCTGTGATCTAGCATACCGTTTTTTACCACCTTTTTATTTAAGAATAAATATATCAGTGATAATATAATGATTGAAAATGGTGATGAAAACCGTTTTCAATGTGCTATCTGAGGCAATTGTAAATTAGCTAAAAGCTTTCACTGGATCGATTTTTGAAAAGAGCTCGTTGATGTCAGCCTCTGAATTACAAAACGATGCATCACTGTTTTCAAAACAGAACAGAATGAGTTGAAATTGGGGACGTCGGAACCTTACAATCAAAGTATCCAGGTTTGTATTGTTAACTTAACAGAGTAAAGTATATTATTGAGAACAGTAAATTGATATTGCGTTATTTAATGATATATATTACAGCAAGATAGAAAATCATGGATGAGTAAAAAGAAAAAAGCTGCTTGTCACAAAAATGCTTCAGCTTTTCATTCCCTTATGCGACGACAGTAAATTATAATCAACATAAATTAGCAAAGAAATACAAACTCATGCAACTTTAAGGTGTAAAATATCTCATCCTTAAAATTGAAGCGAGCTGAAAAATGACAGTATGAAATACTCAAACTTATGAAATACTTAAAGCATTTTGTTTGAACGATTAAATTTTGCTGTCTCAAGGTCTTGAAAGTTTTCATTTTGCATATACTGTTACTGCGCAATTACGGTTACCTAAATGGTTTCGGAGTAAATGCTGCCATTCATGGAATATACAGATGAAATACATTTTATGTATTGCATTACTATATTCAGTTTCGGCGAATATGGAGATCCAAAGGCGAGAATGTAAGTTAATAACTGACCAAAGTATTCTTAAATTATCATGAACTTGATTTAATTTATTGTTCGGAACAACCCTTTTATCTTATTTTGATGTCAGTTTGATATTAAAAGCATCGTAAAGACGTAGATTAACAACTCTCTACTTTTAATTATTTTTATCTTTGGAATGCTTGTGGTTTTAAACCTGAGTAAGATTACTTCAAATGACATAGCATTCATTCGATTGTAATCGCAAGATATAAAAAATCTTCGAAAACATATTACTTCACATAAGTAACAGGGATTTTATTTTAAGTGGTATCATAATTTAACATTATGGTTAATGAATGAAAGTTGGTTAAATGTTTTTATACCTTTTTATATCCAGGTATAGTCTTACCTTCTAAACTTATTTAAACCTTGTACGCGATATATTCGTTTACTATGTGGTTTCACAAACTTTGATACACTAGTGATCGCTAGTTTAATAATGATTATATATTCAGTTACTGAAGAAAAACCCTAAGTTAAGATCATTAGATTGTATACCAACTATTTTTTTTATATATTCTGGGCTGCTTTTCGAACTGTGGATTGATCTTAACGTTTAAAGTAATATTTGTGATAAAAAATAAACACACTCATGCATAAACTATAGTCAGCTAAATATAAGTGTTTTATTATTCATTCTATAGTTTCATGTATCAAAGAGCATTCATACATTGCTATTTAACTGATTCACTTAAGCATCAAACTTCCGCAATTCATTTACGATGTACAAGAAGTAAATTGCCCTACACACAGGTCTATTTGTTTTTATTACTACTATCAGTACCTGTTAGTCAAACGTTTTATGTGTTTTAGCCGTCGTCTCTTATTACCTACAATTTTTTATAAGTTCATGCGATGTGTGTCAAAATCTCCAACAAAACGATCTTGCAAAGAAATAAACTAATACTTTGGTGGTCGAAACAGATGTTTTTGAATCTGATGTGTTGTTTTAATCTCTAAACAGCTGTTACCAGTCACTGTCGGATGTTTGACTTTATTATAATTGATCATGGAACAGTAGAGAGCAAAACTTCAATAAAAAGTGGAGTGACAATTATTTTCCTTTTGTTTGTTCCTAGAAATGTACAGTTTTTTGGGAGAGTATGTCTGATATTTCGTTAAGTATCAAAATATGTACATGGTGAAAATAGTTGAGTTATAAACGTTGAATGTGTTTCTGTAATAAAAGTCAATTTAAGTCAATGTGACGCATGTTTTATTCACAAGAGTGAACTAAGTACCATTCATCTGCTGTTCTTTCTTCTAACCAGTGTTGAAAAATTTGATTAGTGATCAAACAAACTTTTTCAAGAAAATGAATGCATGGATTATGGACCTTGTCTTGAAACATAGTGATGTCTTTACACAGGTTTAATGAAACTATTTTGTCAGTTGTTGTACTATAGTTTTGTCAAGTGAAATCTAGGTAAAGTGTTGCAGATTCTAAACAACAAGTTTGAGGTAACATTGTTATAATTTTATTACCGAAATTCCCAACAGAACTGAAGTTTAAAAACCATAATAAACTTACTAAGAAACCCCTAGTAATATTTGTTGCATTTAGAGCTTACATTCCATATATGTTAGAGTGATTTTAGTCTATTTACTTTAAATCTAAATATGTGTCAGCTTCTGACAATTTCATTAAACTTTGATAGAATAAAGTCATGAATTATAAATAATTGGTATGCAAAATTAATATCATACATCCTCTTAAGTACAAAACGTCCGATGAAATTGAAATATTCTTAGTAAACTAAGCTTGAGTACGCACAATTTGCAAATCTAATAACTGGGTAGAAGACTTAGACACTGTACATAATGTGTGATAAATGAAGAACAGTCAGGTAAATGCCTTGTAGCGAGATTTGGTGCTGATATGTATTGGTCATCGAAAGCCATCTGCACTACTAAGTAAAATGATTTTTTCTGAATTATTCGGACCGAACTTGTAGCTAAAGGTGTTTGTATTGAGCTATGTCTGCCCTGACATGCCTGCTGTAAGATGTAATTGATAGAGAATAGTGATGGGCAGTGAGGACTAAACAGTAAGAAACTATCTGCGAGTCAGTGGCTAGTCAGTATCTGCTTGTATTCTATTATGACCTTAATAGTTACAGTCGCAAAACATCTTGGTGAGAGTTGAATGTGGGATATGAATATTCTTGTTTGATAAATATTTCATGCGTACAAATTGATCTACAGTTGTGTTATAACTTAAGATGGGATAGATAGTTACGTCTCAAAAGCTAAACCCTCTACCTTATTTGAAACGGTGTCTCAGTATTAGAAATCAGTCTTCAAGCTCTTTTTTAACTATGGGATCACTTCGTACAGCTTCTTATGTTAAGGTGAGATTACAATCCTGAAATGTACCCCAGAAGACAACTATTCTGAAGTTGAAAAACAGTCGATTTTTAAATGTAATACTTGTTCAGTGTTTCTTCCTAGGGCAGCGAAATTCACCTTTGTGACTGTTTCTTTTTAAATAAACGTTTGGTTTATGCGTCGAAACTTCATTTGGTAATATTTAGTTCCATTTAGATTGATAGGTTGCATTAAACAAAGTCAATAGTCATATTGGTAATCTCTTTTTAATTAAACATGTAGTTTTCATGGTTTCGAAGTCAGTGCTTATAACCCATGTTTATTTGTGAAATTCCAACAGCCATCAATCACTGTACCAGATAAATAGCTTGCACGCCTCTGTTACTTCTACTGGCGAAAACGTCGCCAGAAAGCATTCTCCAACCAACTCTACATTGAGCGCTCCCTTCCAGTTGTTCTACCGTGCTGTCTATCCTTTTATTATCAACATCCGATTCCCGGTGTCATGTGTTCCTTGGTCTACCTGTTTATCTTCGGCCTTGACGATTCGAAGCTAGGGCTTGTCCCGTGATACAGTCAGATAATTTCCGGAATATGTATCCTATGCGTCTCCAGCGCTTTTTCTTGATTTCTTCTTCAGATGAAATCTGGTTTGTTTTCCCCCACTGTAAGTTGTCACTGATGGTGTCTCTCCAATGGATCCGAGGTGTCTTGAGTGAACAGTCAAGTTTCCACATCATGCAACAGAATTATCTTGACACTTGTATCGGAAATCCTTACTTTAGTGTTGGTTGACAGTCGCTTTAAGTTCCAGATGTTTTTACTTGCAGAAATACTACCCTTGTTTCGCTAACCCATAATTCATTAAATCTAGATGATGGTTAGTGGTGCTAAACAGTGATGCGTTTTGGTGAGCTTTATTTCAGAAGTACCAACTAGTGATGTTCGTATGAATGTATTAACTTATACCTCAAGTTTTATATTCCTGAAACTTTATCTACGTATTGTTTGCGACATAATAGCCGTACTTTCTAAACGACTTCTATTTGTAATCTAAAGGTTCGATTTTTAAACTCATGTAAGTAATCGGATAACACAGACTCTAGCTGTAAAAATTGGATAAATAACATGATATTATTTGCAAAAATAATCTGTACAAATTAAATTTACTTAGCTTTTCATCTGGTTAACCGGTTTCCCCTTTGTCCATATTTGATAGAATTTGCTCATATTTTCATGAGCATTTTACTAAACTGTTATCTACGTTAAAACATTCATGATATGAGAGCTTGAACATATTAAGCAGTCAATTGATCCCAAAAAGTATCTCTTGTTTTTTATGCTCTTTATAAAGTGATTTTTAAAATTTTTTAGAAGTTTTTTTAGGCATAGGTGTTGAGTTTTAGCTGTGTTACAATGTTTGCGGCTAAATTTCCTAATTTAATTATCATCCAATCCGATAAAGATATACCATTAACACTGCATATTATTGTCATTGAGACCACTAAATACAACAATAATATAACTTGCTCAGATCCTTAGATTAAAAGTTGTTTGAACAGAATAATTTAACACTTGTAAATCACACATTTTTAAAACCATGAATCGATCAATGTTAGACCACCATTAGAAACCTGGAAGCACTGGACGGCCGTTTCGTCCTGGTATGGGAGTCCTCAGCAGTGCGAATCCAAAACTCCTGCACCCCACAGGATTCGAACCCAGGACCTTCAGTAATGTGAGCGAACGCCCTAACCGTTAGACCGTTGAGCCGGTATCTAATGGTGTTAATGTCTAACTTGATCGAATTCACGGAGTTGCGCAACCTCATACACAGTCTTCGGTTGACACTGCCTACACCCGAACATGTTGAACTTCACTGGTCACGTCTTGTAAATTGGTAGTTATTGAAAACATGACTTTTGCTTAAAAATTCGAGTTGATAATGAAAATCAATTAATGGAAGATTTATTTTTTTTTATAGAAGTTAAAATGTTAAAGAGTAGTATCATTAGAAAACAAATCTATGTAGAACCGAATCTTTATTAAATTAGAAAAATTTCTCATATATTACCTGATCCACTTAGACTATGAATGGAGTTGTTATTCATGTGATAATTGAGTAAGAAACATTCGATTTTTAATCAATAAACATTTCGACAGAAGCCGACTAAATAATTCATACAACTTTATTTATGCATTCTATTGTGGTGAACATGAAAATGGATTCTTGGAAAAAAAACAACAATTTCTTAAGTTGTAACACTAGTTGTATGAACTAACTGTTTAATATTTGAAATAAATTCCTTTTTAATCATGTCAAATAAGTGCTAAATTTGGTTCAGTCTAAAATTATTGATTAATATTTTTTTTTATTTAAGTAGTTTCGAAATTTTACTTTTGAATTATATTTATGTATTGTTTTACTGTCTATCTGTGAATAGATCTTTTTTTCTGGTTGTTGATTTAATACACAACGTTGGTTGAATTTTATTGTATGTGTAAAATAAGCAGTGACAGTATCTTGTATTAAATGTTCATTTATCACAAAAACATTGTTGATTACAATAGATTATTACACTAGGACATTGAAAAATAAGATATCAAGTCAAAGCCATATAATATTTAGGTTGTGAACTTTTATT